TTTGTTTGTTTGTTTGTTTGTTTTGAGATGGAGTCTTGCTCTGTTGCCCAGGCTGGAGTGCAGTGGCACAATCTCAGCTCACTGGAGCCTCTGCCTCCTGGGTTCAAGCAATTCTCCTGCCTCAGCCTCCTGAGTAGCTGGGACTACAGGCATGCACCACCATGCCCAGCAAATTTTTGCATTTTTGGTAGAGACGGGGTTTCACCACGTTGGGCAGGATAGTCTCAAACTCCTGACCTCAGGTGATCCACCTGCCTTGGCCTCCCAAACTGCTGGGATTCCAGGCAAGAGCCACCATGCCCAGCCACTTTGTTTTTAATCCTTATTCTCCTACCACATTACTTATGAAGTCAACTATTCTTTTTAAAATTTATTTTAAAAGCATTAATTGAAGATCCTTTACATGCAAAGCATTAATTAATAAAGTATTAAGGTCCAGAGAAAGTTTAAGGATTTATTAATGCAAATTCTGTTTCAAGAACTCCTATAAAAAAAAAAAAAAAGGAAAAAAACAACAAAGTCAAGTAAAAGACATAAATCTGTTGCCCTTAAAGCAGGTATATATTCAACAAGAAAAAAGCATTAACTTTAAAAAAATGCATCTAAGAGGTAGATTGCCTCTTAATCTTTGATCATAAAAGTATCAAAATTAAAATCCAATCAGCCTATATTCCCCACAAACAGAAAAAGCAACTGCTTAGAACGGTAAACTGCATGCCTTAATATGCCTAAAACTGATCTTTCTCTCTCTCTCCCCCCACCTCTCTTTTGCCTCTCCCTCCCTTCCTCCTTCTCTGGGTATGATCTCATGTTCTTTACATTTTATGTCTGTGGTTTTCCCCAGGTCCCTCTGCAGGTTGTCCTTATCTATGAAGCCCAGAAACAGTGGTACATAGAAGAATGCTAATTCATGTTTGTTCATGACATGCAAGACAACCATTTGTGTCACTGTTAACCTCATCATTCTCAACTGCACTTTCAAGGGGAGAGAGGAAGGGGTTAAGGTAAAAGGGACAAGGATTAGGGGTTATAGAAGAGACCAAAAATTTTTCTCTGATTTCCTTCATTCAGCAAATATTTTTTGAATAGCTTCTCTAATGATCTGTGCAAGATACAAAGGCACTGAAGATATGTCTCTCTCCCAAAAAAGCTGACTACTTAAGAAGGGAAATAAACTCTCACAGTTATAATACTCCCTGCAGGGTTGGCCAAAACTTTGTTGAGCCCGCACTGCAGTTCAATTTCCTTTGCTTCATCTGCTTCCTAAGCCCCCTCATTATAGGTTTTGATTCCTAATAAACATCGAAAGAATCCACCCTGAGACATACAGCAAAGGGGAGGCATTCCAGTAACAAAACTATTACTAACAGGATCTATGAGGAAGAAATGCCATAATGCCTTGTTGACAAGTTGATACTTCTAAGCACTTTAGCTGATTACCACAACTTTTAACTCCTGGTATAATAGTTACGGGCTGAAGAAATTATATTAGAAGCTCACAGCTAAAATGCAGCATTTAAAAATCTTTTCAGACCTCAATCACTATTTAGTCTTGAGAATATTTACAATCTTACCGAATCACTTGAGACAGTACTTCCTTGGTGGTAACGTGGATCATCTAATCCTATGATTCTTGAGAGGTTTCAGGAATGAAGCATTTAGATGTTAACCAACCAAGATTCCAATAAATGGCTTTAGCTCTGAAAAAAACAAAATACATTTACATATTCAGTATGTTTATAATAAGTATACCTGTATGTCACTCACATCCATTCTTACTTGTGAACACATTTTACACCCAGTGTCACCTAGTGCTGCAGATATCCTCTTTCAATAACATTGCACAACAATTTTTCTAAGTTTTTTATTATGGAAAATTTTGAACTAATGCAAAATTATTAAGAACAGTACCATGAAACCCCCATCATTCCCAGCTTCAACAATTAACTCGTGGCAAATGTTTCATTTATATCTTCATCTAGCCCCCCGCAACCTCTATCCCACCACACTGGATTATTCTGAAGCAAATTCCAGACATCGTAACGTTTCATCTGTACATAATTCATTATGCATCTAAGACAAGGCTTTACTTTGTAAAAATAAGCTAATACCATTATAATACTTATATTAATAATATAATACCAACTACTAATCAGCACTCAAATTTCCCCAATTGTCCCATAAGTGTCCTTTTAACAGTCTGTTCTCATCTAAATTTAAACAAAATTCATACAGGCAAGTGTAACCATATCTCTTAAATAACTTTTAATCTATAGTTTTTCTCCTCCTTTTCTTCTGTATAGAGTGACAATAATGCTTTCACTAGCCAATGGTTAAACAAATACACCATAACTTAATTATTCAATAATATATTATTTTAGTCACTAAAATATAGATTTGTACAACAGTTCGTGTATCTGCTAGACCTGATATTTATCACATCTACAGACAATATTTGGGATGCACATTTTTCAAAGTCTACTTAGAGTAACTCTGAGAGGGTCATGGACCATGAACTACTGCAGTGTATCTGTAATACCTGGATGGTTACTGAGAATAAAGCAAATGACCACAGGGAGTTATCTTTTTACCATTTATATGGACTCCAAGTTAACATAAAAAATTCATGTGTTATTACAATTAAAAAGTCCTGGATTTTTTGTTTTTGTTTTTGTTTTTTTTCTGAGACAGAGTTTCGTTCTTGTTGACTAGGCTAGAGTACAGTGGCACAGTCTCAGCTTGCTGCAACCTCCACCTCCCAGGTTCGAGCGATTCTCTTGCCTCAGCCTCCTAAATAGCTGGGATTATAGGCGTCCACCACCAGGCCCAGCTAATTTTTGTAATTTTAGCAGAGATGGGGTTTCACCATGTTGCCAGGCTGGTCTCCAACTCCTGACCTCAGGTGATCCACCTGCCTCGGCCTCCCTAAGTGCTGGGATTACAGGTGTCAGCCACTGCACCCAGCCAGTCTTGGCATTTTTCTATAGCAAAAATAAGGCAAATTTGTCATCTGGCACTGGAACTCAAATAAGCCTTATTTTAAATAATAACCAGTTGGATACTAGTTTTTCTCTTTAATTAATTTAATCCCCAACCCAACAGAAAAAGTTAAATATCCTGAAATATTAATTTTGTACTGAATACTCTTAATTTGAAATTCCTTTAGCCAAGTTAGAAAAATATAGTATTTACTCATAGAATAATCAATTAAATCATGATTAAAGCCAAATCTTCAAAGCCAAAAATCTGGGAAATATGAATAAAATATTAACTTGTTGGTGCTTGCTCATAATATCACTCCAACTTACTGGAATTTTTGACTGCTCCATCAAATATTTCTAAAATCTATTATCAATATGATAGCTACAATCCTGCCATAATTCTTTATACTTTACTTATCCTAGGTTCACGGCATCGTTTCTCCCTCAAACCAAAATAAATTAATGTGACAAATAGCATGTCATGTCTTGTGGGTATGGTCCTACATTGGACAATATTTAATGAGTTTTAAATTATCTTTCACTTCATCTTCTGGGACAAATCTCAAAACCAGTCACTACTGGAGTACAATGCAGTTTTAGGAATATTGCAAAAATCCCAGCTAGGACCGATTTTTGTCACCATGTCTAGGTATTTCATTTGACTTTGTTTTTGAACAGCCTTCTGCTCAGACATAGCAAGTGCTAATGTCATGCTTTTGTTGTATGTGTTTATTCTTCTTGTAATCACACTGTCATGGCACTATGTCACTTAAAGATTTATCAGTGTTTGCCCAGAGTTTGCAACACTTCTTCAGTAGACAGACAGCCTTCCTATTTTTAACTTTTCACTTTTGATAAAAATAAATGCATCTTTTGGTAACCATGGAAAATTTGT